GCCACTGGGGAATCCTACCCTAGTGAGGTGGGTCTCCCTCGGGAACGTCAGGCACCACGTTACGTTCAGCCGCCACTCATGTGAACCCAAACATGTGAGCATAATTTGGAAAATATCATTTATACTGTGCGTCTTTGTACGTGTCTTGACATTTACAAACTGCGATAAAACCGACATGAGGGAGGAGGGAATAGAAAACAGGGCGAGAATAATTTGAGGTAATGTTTTGCTTAGTGAACAGTATTACCCAACGCTGGATGTTGGAGCACTGGGAAGGAGGTTCTGGCTCCGAGGCTGCAGAGAGGGTCTGGGTTTCATTTTTCAGCAAGTGCAAGCCAAAGGAGAGCTGCCAAGTACAGCTTTCGCTCTCAACACTTCCTGCTCTTCCTACTCTGGCTCAGGAGGAGACAGGCTTCACTCAAACATCATGTCGATTTAGGCAGGGGTGGCCAGTTTATTCTCCCATTTCTCAATGGGAGTCAAAAAATCTCACATCTGTCTGGTGAATTACAGCGGCCGGGGAAGTAAAAACGCCAGGATTGACATATTGTTGAGCCACAAATTAAAGGTGTGGTGCACGCATGGGTAAATACGGGGAAAAAAACATTTCCTATTCAAGTTACCAGCTTTAATTGACTCACTAAAGCCTAGAAAAACACTGCAGCGTAGGTCCCTCAGCGTAAAGTAACGTACAAAATCCAGAAGAAACACCTGCAGCAATCAACTCTCAATCACAACAACAGTGGCCCCATCCACTGCATCATTTTCATTATGGATGGTGAGAGCACAATGCTAGATTAACACTACCTACTGAGTGCCATCTTAATTGCCCCTCTGCAGATGCAGTGAAAACATGTCATTTAGGTACTTCATAAACAGACTTCTCCTCGCAGGTTATCAAGACAGCCGCTCAGTGAAAACACACCCTCTTTTTCAATGCTGATGTGCAATTAAAATGGTTTTAGAAATCCTCTTTGACAGTCCAGGGCTTAGCCAAAAATGTAAATGACATTAAAGGAGACAATGAATTTAATTTTGTTTAATGTCCCCTTTCACTGATTCTCATTTACATCACATTTCCACATAAAGGGCTGACCTTATAAATACTGGCATTTGTTCAGCTTTTGGAGGTAATCACGGTTTTGCAAAAACCAGATGGGAGCGCACAAATTTTCCGATTTGTTTCTTAGAAGGCCGGGGGAACCACACACGAGGCGTTCTAAGACTGCAGCCTTTGTTTCTGGTAAACAACTTGACAACAAGTCAAGTGCACTCTGGGAAATGACCTCGTAGGTGTTCCGCAAATGAACGATAACGCGCGGTCGTTTAGAAAATACAGGCTCGCTAATGAGGGACATAACAGAAAGCTAAGCAAAATTTACATTAGGCCAAAATTTAATTGCATTAACACACGAACAGGTGCGGTGAAGCCTTTATAAATGAGCTAAATGAATAAAAGCATCCCACAGCACAGCCATGTGTGCTGACCAAAAACAGAGACAAGGGGAAAAAATAAGGGGAAAAACAAGTCAATGTCATGAATTATTCAGTGGCTGGGCTGCACTCCAAAGGTCAGTGCTCTTTGACCTTTGTGACAGGAAGTGAAAGGGAGCACCGCAGCCGCTGGAATAAATGGAGCTGACATGTTTAGATCTGGTCCAGAATCTGAATGGCGTGGGTAAATTGACATGGGATGTTAAACTGCATGAACATACATTAAATTCAAAATTCATACATGGGTAAGAATACACACGCTGATATCTCATTCCCTCCGTGTGTCCGTCTCAATTCTGCTTGCATAAATTTACCCGGCTTCCCAGAGTAAAATGTGACCTCTGAACTCCTCGACGCACAGAACGAGTCATTTTCCCTCCACTTCCAACAACATGTGCCGTCTTATTACAAAATCCATGCGCGAGCCCGGACGATGTATCTAATCTTTCACACTAGAGAAGACAAAGTCAATATGCGAGAGAGTGAAGACAGATACCAGACAAGTAGAGTCATCAGAAATTGAGTTATGTTTGACTATACACACTACATGCACTGTAAATGGGAAAACCATCTAATCAGATATTGGTGCCTCATTACTATAATTCTAAAGACTCAAATATACCGAGTGAATAAACCTGCACCCCCCACTTACTTTAAGGCACCATTAAGTTATAAATGTGACATCTGTAGCACTGCTGGATTTATACAGGGGGAGAGATGATTACACTGAACTGCAAAGTGCTGCGGTCATAGCAACAGTCGCAAAAAAATTACTGCTTCCTTTTACTAATGTGAGCAGCAATAGACTTTGACATTTCTAATCGGGTTTGATGTGGGAAGAGAGAATAACGTACCCTCACGCTACTGAGGACGATTTACTTTCATGCGAAAATACTTTCATGCAAAATACCCTGACTTTCTTAACAGATATTGAAATTTGAGTCACAACACATATAAAGCCGCCCAAAATGCAGCAAAACTAGGGCCTTTCTGCATCCAAAAAATGAGAATGAATAATGCAGGGACATCAAATGTAAGTGTTGAAATATTTAAAGACCAAGCAGTGCTGAAACTTTGTGACAGCTGTTGGGCCTATATCTAACCAACTTTAAAGCGAATCCTTCCTCTTCAAAAAATCTGAGTGAAAATCTGTATCAAAACTCTGAGAGAAAATAGGGTAAACAGATGTCTGGCTTGACCGCAGGAAAATAGGACACATTTGGAATGATAAGTTTCCCAAACTCCGTTGGATATGCCAGATCCATGGGAACGCCAGTTAATGTCTCGCTAGATGCCAGCTAGCTGTGCGCGCTCTCCCCTCTTGCCATCTGGGAAAATGTTGCAGCGAACGAACGCCATCAATGATTCACTCCAAATCTGTTTCTTAAGGTTCGACCATGCTACTGTTTCTCCAGGAAATGTGGCAGTGCTAGCCCTGGTTCTCATACTGTAATTGTAGACAGATGAGACGTGCCTGATTCAACAATCAAACCTCTCCTCGAGGTTTATGTCACTCAACTATGTTCTACTCAATTGGAAATAATCAGTTTCTGCCAGGAGTGACCGCAGCACAGGTGCCTGTAATGATGTGCATGAGAAAATGACAGATGTAACAGAAATGGCTGTAAAACATGGAAGCTTTAACTAAAAGCTTACCCGTGTGCACAGCGGGACACACTCGGGTAATTGCAGTAAATAATCTTACGCAGCAAAACCTGCACCGTGCTCTGGTCGTGTCCGTAACTCACGCTAAACCCTGCAACCTCTCACAGGCACCCCTTCTCTGCAAGCCTCCTCCAGTCACTGGGAACCTGTGTGGGTCTGTTAGGGTGAGCTGACGGGCTCATAGTTACGACATGGAGACAATGGGAGGGTCTAATGAGGAACATATGCTTTTGTGTTTCAACAGAGCCGCTCATTGTGCAAGGAAAGGGATACTCCACTCCTATTCAGACTCATCACAATGAAAATTCGAGCCCTCCCTGAGCCAGTTGAGCTTACAATATCCATCCGCTTCTTTTTTCCCCTGCTCTTTTTTTTCCCACCCCTCTTCTTGACTTTAATTCTCCGTGCATTCATTTTGCTTATTGTACTTATGTTACATGTTTTGTGCGGCAGATTGAAGAACAATGGTGTGCGAAACCCTGAGCAGTAAAAGGCAGCAGAGCGACACAAAGCAAACATGAAAGCAGCGGAAATTAGGCATCTCAAGTTATATGTTAATATTCGCACTTCACTGATAAATGCACCTGACTGATAAATGAAGCAGCCCACTTGGCAGCGGATGAAACAAACAAAGAAACCTCTAACCTTACATGGTCTAAACACATCAGTACTTTTTTCATACAGGCACTGTGACTGTCATGAGGAATAAAAACATTCAGCCAGAGCAACAGCACGAGCAAAATACAAGCAGCATGCATGAGGACGTGCGTGCGTGTGTGTCAGCCTGTCTGCGTGTTTGTGCCCTCGTCCGTGTGTGTGTGTGTATCTGCATTTATCTACGTGTGTGTCTGTGTGAGTTTGAGTTCAGACAGCAGTAGCTCTGGTAATCCATCCAGGCTCCCAGGGCAGCCAGCTCCTACTTCCTGATGCATGAGAAGCCGCTGGAGTGGAGTGGCAGCAACAACTGCTCAGCCCTATTTGATTACTAATAAGAGAGTTGTCCCCTCTGTCAGATACCAGGCATTCTCCACTAAGCAAACAGTGATTCCGGCTAGTCAAACATTAGCATTGCTGTCTCTCCCTACTACGTGGTGAGAGTTACATTGAGATCGAGGCTCAAACGAAGCCCCCTACCTCGCCCTTATATCCACCACACGCACATGCACGCACATGCACGCCCACCTAAATATATTCACACTGACCCGGACATATAGTTTCACAGTGTGAGAAAAATGTCAATGCCGAAAAGAAAAACCATTTATTCTCCCTCTTTAGAAAGTGATGAAGGTAATATAAATGTGGCAGATGTAACTTTCCTGAAGGTGCAGAACAAAACAGCCGACATAAAATGTTTATCCCCTCTAAAGCGCAACTTTAATGGTGTCAAGCTCACAGCGAACTTGAGCGAAGGAAACAGTCAATGGAAAACAAGTATTGACAGTGTAAAGCATCACTGTCGTAAACAAAGAAAGGAAGCCAGCCAAATAAATCTGAAGTTGCCTAAGCTAATTAGGTGTATTCCCAGCATGATCCTCCAGTGATTGAGCCACCTGTGATTGAACAAACCCTATCCAGGTGGTGACCGCCCCTCAGTGCACAGGTACCTGGGAAAGACGCCCCTCAGCCGCTCACACGGGCTCACCCACGGTTCCCACACTGCGGGCCGCGGAAGATGCAAGTCAGCCCAACTGGGCCGTCTGGCACACCGGGAGGGGACTCATTTGTTCACCAGCTCACCCATGTGCCTGCTCATCCACTCAGTCAGTCACACGCTCACTCATTCATTTACTCATTCCCTCGTTCACAAACACAGAAGAAGGAGCTGCTCACGAGCCGCCTACCTGTCAATGATCACAGGGTCTGATGGAGTCTCGTTCCTGTTTCCACAGCTTTTCTTGTCACAGCATCGGCTATAGGAAGATAAGACACGTGTGTGAGTAGTGTGTGAAAGAGAGAGAGAGAGAGAACAAGCAAGACTTTGCTAAATAAATAAAAAAAAAAAAATAATGCACACAAAACCACATACATTTATGAAGTGCCTCGGAGTGGTTTTTGATATTGGGAACAAAATTGCCATGAGATTTCCTTCACTCAATCTATCCATTCCATTGATGCTGATGGCTGATAAAAATGGTGAAAACAACATGTTGTGTTGTTTGGCTTAGTGTTGGAGGGGAGGGGAGTGGGGATTGGGCCAGGAGGCAGGGGAGTCACTTTTCACAGCTTCAGCTTTTGTTTACCTCTAATTGCCAAGCTGCTATTTCTGAGGGAGATGCAAGGTGCCACCCTCAACCAATATTTCTGCGGGGCATTTATCAATTATGGCCTCAAAAGCACTAATCTATCTTCCAGCACATGTTTCAAGCATCTCCTCCCCGAGCCTATAGCTAGCTGCCTTTTCACATCTTTGATTAGAACTTGAATCAAAACCGCAAAAAAAAAAATAAACAAATACATCATCCGGCTTCCACGTGAAATGAAAACATATAAACATATGAGAATACGACTGATTTATGCCATATGGAGCAGAAAGAAAAACAAAGATTTTTGTGCAAAGCTACTGTCAGTCATCCGCATGCTATTTAAATATGTGTGATTTACATGACTTTCCAGCAGCAGCAATAAAGATGTGTTTTACAGCGAAGGTGCTGCAAAGTATTAGAGCAAATATATAATTCAAAGCCTGCTGTTGTACAAGCAGGAAAAAAACAAGATAAGATTAAATGATTATTCTTATTATAACTGCCCTTATTATGTATATCCACTTATCTGATAATAGGCAGCAGTTAAAGTAGTTCTTTATTCAGCAGCAAAACACACTTCCTCTTGACAAAAAAAAAAAAATATTACCTCCAGAGCACAAGCATATTCAACGTGTCACAAATAAGTGATGGATGCATGTATAAATTGAGCGTGAGTGATGAGTTTATGCATGGAAAAAGACAAATCATTCTCAGCTCTCATGCTGCACTTGCTCTCAGCCAGTAACTTGAACAATGCACCGGTGCAACAAAGGAGAGGTTAACCGACAGTATCCGAATTCAATGTTCACAAAGCTCATGCTGAGCTCGACAATAACAACAAAAGGCGTTTTTCCTTTTAGTATCAATGACACCGCTGAATAGCAGCGCAATCCGAGAGGTTGAGATTTATGTGGTTAAATGACGCTAAAAGGCTCGCTGATCATTGTTGACAGGTGGGATCAACCGAGAACTGACTCTCAAATTAAAAAAAGAAAAGCTGATACATGACATGCAACGTCTATGCATAACTTAACAGAGAGCACATTGTCTCTGGCAGGCATCAGTGATGACATGCAGTTGTATGAAAGACATGTATGAAAGATAAATACAGTGAAAATTAAAAAACATAACTTATGTACTGTGTCACTGACTGTTTATTATACATGCAGTGTCCCTTCACTGGAGGAGACAGTCAGTACGTTCTCACTGTCACATTCATATTCATATCAAAGTTGAATCTCAGCATATCAAAAGTTAGAAATGACAGCAGCTCTCTCTCTCTCTCTCTCTCTCTCTCTGTCAGTGTGTGTGTGTGTGTGTGTGTGTGTGTGTGTGTGTGTGTGTGTGTGTGTGTGAGTGTGAGTGTGAGTGTGTGGGTGGACCACAGGACAGTCTGGTTTGCTGCATCACATCATGAGTGTCAAAACTTGTACTTATTGAATGGGAGGGAATTACTTTTTGCCTGGATGTGCAAAATGGACAGAGCAATAATAAAAAGGAAATAAATAAATAACACTTACCTGCACATAATTTCATGAGTAAGAAGAACTCTGCACATTTCTGGATTCTTGTCTTGGCCCTCATAAATTATGGCCTTTGAGAGGAAATGAGATGGGGAATAAAAATAAAAATAAATCAAGTGAGAACACACTCATCTCTTAAACACATGTTAGTTCCCATGAATTCACAAATAATTAGAAGAACACAGCTGCTGTTTCTGACGATCACACAAAAAATAATGATAAATCAGGGCAGGAATAAACATGATGTTAGGACAATATAATATATTAGATGAGTCCTGAGTAAGAATGTGGTTAAGATCATTATATTAATTTATATCCACATCAATTATCTCCTCAAATAAACAATTACAACAATAATTATAATTGTAACAGCAGCAGCAATAATTTTAGTGGCACTGAGTATAAAAAATTAGTATCAAAAAATATGAGTATAAAATGAATTGTCGTGGCATTGATTATAATAATTATAAATTGTATTTTTTTTTTTTTGTATTAATCTGGATAATATCCCGTGGCTCACACAGACAGACAGGGAGGTTTTCATAAGGAGAGATCCAATAGAAGTGTCATCAATATGCTTATAATCTGGGGATATTTGGGGGAAAGTGTTAATGGGCAATCTGTTGTTTATTTTGAGCCGCTAACAATGATCTTTCTGTGGATAAAAAGCGGTGTCTGGCGGTACGGTTGAGTAATTTTTGAGCATTGGCTGAAACAGATGGCGTGGAGCTATCAGTTCTGCCGCTCTTCTCTCCCTCCCTCGATCCCTCCCTCCTTCTCCCATGTCTAAGGATAGACTCTTTACCTCCCCTCGCACTGAGCCGGCACCAAGCACAGCATCCCAGTATTGACTAAATACTTAAGGAAATAAAAAACAGGACGAATAACAAATAAACAAATAAAGTGTGACGTGTGTTTGTGTTTTTGATGGAATAAATAAATCCTATAATTATTTTATTTTTTGTTCCTGGCACGCTTCAGGCCAATGTGGGATGAGAAAGTGACACATCTGAACCAGGTCGCATTGCTCCTATTTAAAAAAATAAATCTGTCCCACTTGAACCGATGTGTGTTTTTTTTTTATTTCCTTTTCTTTTTCCTTTTTTTTCTAGGAACAGGGCGATTATCTATATTGGTTTGATTTATGTCGCCATTTGCAGCTGTAGAAACAGAAATCCATAAATTGCTTGTTCTGCATCATTGACTCGGATCATTCGCACAGGAATGTGACCAGTGGCCCAGGCTGCACGGCTCTATCCCGGGGAGCCTCTGCCCAAACCCTCCGTTGGAATAAATTCTTATTTGCCCTCTTTAGATTTAACTTTAAATGTTATTGTTAAAAAGCAACAATAAAAAAATATATTTGCATGGGCTCTGAGGTCAGTTTCCATGTTTGTGAGGAGCATGAGAGAAATGCACCTCTGCGAAAGAAAACATTAATATTCATATTTATATATTACATTTTACGCATAATTTTTAAAATCATCTTTAGAGCGTCACCTCTGACTCTTTGCAGGAAAAAAGTCAAATCAGATCATATGGAGCAGACGTAGCGTTTAATTTTTAATGTTGGACAAACTGAGCTTACAAAGAAGCCCCAACTCGAGCAGAGTAAGATTGACTTTTGAGACCTGCAATATGATATGACCCCACGTAAACAGCAGGAACGGAGCCTGTCTCTTCGTGTTTCAGCGATAATTTGATTTTTAGTTTCTGCAACAACTGCAGATTATTTATTTGTATTTTTGTTTGTTTGTTTGTTTGTTTTGTGTTTGCATCTCAGGGGTGTGATGGCAATTTTGCACGGGTGTGTGTTTGGAGTTTTTCTTTTTTTGCACAAGTGAATCGTGCATGTGAGCAGAGTTGCACGGTGCGTTTAAAGTGCACAACAGCAGCTTACCTGCTTCGTCATGGAATCGATTAACCGTATGTAAAGATCCTGTTCTGTTCTGACGCCTGGAGAGAGAGAGGAGGAGGAGGAGGAGGAGAAAAAATAGAAAACAGGAGCACTTGTGAATTTTGAGGAATTACAGGCGATGAATTAAAATAGCAGACAAAGTCCTCGGAAGAAAAAAAAAGTTTGGTCACACATAATAAAAATATAGAGTTTAGCCTCATTGCATTTGCAGAATTATCACACTGTGTTATTAATATAATAATAATATTTTCCACTGGCAATATTCTTATGATTATACACATTTATTATATGTGGCGTTGTGCATGCTGGTAAACTCATTGTGTTTGCAATAAATATTATTGGCACTTGAACTCACCATTGCTGTACAATAACTGTAGTTTGTAATGAATCCCATTGTTAGTTTTTTCACTGGTTGGTTCCTGCAGAAGACAAACAGTTTGTAAAAATCAACATCAACGACTGCGTGTCATTAGCACGTGCCTGGGTGTTTGGAAATGTATATTTATATTTATTGTGCAAAAGATGAGCAACACCTTCAGTTGTTTAAACGACTGTGTCATCAACGAATTGAGTGTTTTCTCTCTCTGGGTTTTTTTTCTTTAAATAAATCAATATTACACGTGACTCCCCCTCAATAACCCACTGCCATTTCACTGAGCTTTACAATTTGGATGCATGTGCTGATTATGTTGCACGAAAGGCTCGCGTGTGTTTTCTGAAAAATGCACCGCTTACTTTTTCCTTCTCCACAAAGTCCACAAAAGCTGTCCTTTCGATCTCCACGGGCTGACCCTGCCTGTCATACAGCGCCAGGACGAAATGGAAAAAATTGGATTTTCTGAGGTTGGAAGGGGGCTGCTTTTCATAATGTGCCCGTGCCAAGCCGACACCGCTGCGGGGAGAAAACAAGAGACCATCTCGGTTAAGCACCGGACACCGGGGATAGCTGCTGAGATGATGGGAGAGAAGCTGATGGAAAACATTGCAGATGCAGAAGCACGTTGTCGGGGGGGGGGGGAAGAGGAGAAGAAGAGATTTCTTGATTTGTCACAATAATGGGTAATCTCATGTAATGAAAGAAGGGGAAAAGCCGAAGGGGGGGCATTTATTGGGAGACCGTAATTGATACAGAGTATTCAGGGGATTGAGGGGTCGATATGATGAGGAGGGAATGCGTGTGAAAAATCAGATGCTTTTGGCATGCGTACCTTTGGGCGGCTGTGTTTGCGTCCACCACCCCAGCTGTGTGCATCCAGGAGCGGACCGAGTTCAGTCCACCCAGCGGTTCCTCCTTCATCGTCGTCCCACCGCGCGGTATAGTTTCCTGAATCCCAAACATTTAGGACAATTTGCGTGGAAAAAAGAGCCTCCTGCGAAAATTAGCGGAAAATAAACGTCCAAGCGTGTTTATCCTTCAGGGTTGCTTCTTCTTTTTTTTGTTGTGCGCGTCGCAGTTGTCACGGGATAAGCAGCCGATTCACAGTTGCGAGGGACAAACCCGGTCCACAGGTCTTGCCTCCCTCTTCAGTCCGTCCGATGTGAACAATTCTCAAAGTGCTGCACTTAGTTAGAGCGATATCCACAGACTGCAAAAGTGAATTGTTCAATAGACAAGGTTTTATTTTTTTTTTTTTTGTCTTGCTAGTGTTCCTCTTTGTTTTTTTTAAGGTCTTTTTCTCTTCTTCTTTTTTTTTGTGCTATTCACAGAAAAATCGATGTGAGTTGTTTGTGTTTGCGGGTGATGATGCTGCTGCTCTCAAAGTGCCCACATCCCTGAAGCACCCGCATCCAAAACCTTCAGGACTTCTTGTTGAGTTAAAAAAAAAAACCCCACTCCTGCAGAAAAGGTGCTGCTGCTGCCGCTGCTGCTGCTTCTCCGCAAGACAAACACGGGCGAAGGCTGATCACCAGTGGAGGTGTTCCTCGTACACAGGAGAGGTGGATAAGGGGCCCTTTCGCGTCGTGCAGGATGGATGGGAACATGCAAAACTAAGCCCTCTTTCCCCGAGGACTGAAATCTTTCCCGGGAGCCAAAACTCTAGACCCACGGGAGAGGCGCTGTCAGAGTGTGACGCGGTGAGGGGCGTGGTTTTGCCCATATTTGGCGCGCTGACGCTTCCTGTCGGGCAGCGCTGCTCCGCCGTGCGCGTTCAGCCCCAAACAGCCGCAGCTCGACTGCACTCACTCGCTCCACTTTCCCTCTTGCTTAGGCCCTATATGTGGTGAGTTTGATTTTTTTAACCATATGGAAAATCGGCTGTAACCATCGCACATAACGAGGGGGAAAAAAAAGAAGAATAATATACATGATAGTAATAATAATTTAAAATTCAAGATTACTGCTGATTGGTTTTTAGCTGGCCTGATGATTTGCAATTTGCGTGATTAGCTGTGTTGATGTATTTATTCGATTACATCTGTTATTACTTGTTTGTTCACTCATGTATCGAAAGCATCACTTGGCACACACGCCATAAATCACATTTCAATAACGGCACATCTTCATTTTTCTAATTTCTATTTTTTTTTTAATGTTGTGCACTTTTAACTCCATGCACGCTGCAGCCTCTTCATTTTTATTTTTTATTCTGTGATTAAAATGTGATTCACATCAGGCTGGTTTCTGCCATCACACGTGATTATTCAGCTATTAGTCCTCATCAACTTTGCACTGGGAATTTATCAATGACTTCCACTTGTTTTGTGGCTGTGCAACCGCGGAGCTGCTCGTCTTATTTATGTGCTGCATGAAATATAAAGAGTTTTGTTTTGTTGGAGGAACCAGGGGTTTAATTTCGCGGCGTCCATAATATTGATGTGAGGAGTGATCAGTCACTCACAGAACATGAAGCCACATTTTCTGACCTCTTTAAAAAAGACAGAGCCATTACATGTCTATCATGACATTAAACAAACTTGCAGGAAAGCTTGTGTGTCTTCTTTATTTCATGCACGTCCTGTATACATAAAAAAAATCTGCAATAATCAGAAACATCTTAATCATTTTTAAAGAGCCAACTGATGCCTTACATGTCCGACTTTGTCCGAGAGGGACAAGCAGGCAATCCGGTTCATTAGTGGTGAAAAGGAGGAGAGGATGGAGGGAGAGAGGGGAGGAGGGTGCGAGGAAGAGAGATGTGTGCTATATCCTGAGCAATCTATCTAGCTGGTGCTGAGGGTTAATAGCTGCTGCCAAAGATAAGTGAATTATAAGCTGTTGCTTTCACCTCTACACAATCTATTGCCAAATTGCCCAGTCACAAAATGAGGGTGAGGATTTTCTAAAAACTTTTTTATATTTTAGGAAAATTAAAAGTTTTAATTTGTGGGAAATAAACAAATAAGAGGGAATACTCAAATGAGGCCTCTGTTAAAAAATATATTTTCCTTTTTATATAAAAGCAGTGGACATAAAGGTTTTTGTCTGTTCTGCAGAGATTGCAAATATCTTTTTTGCACAGAACTGCACCCTGCTTTTTTTGCTCTGTTTCAAGTCGCTTATTAGAACTTAACCCCTGATTACACGCACCAAGGCGATTTAAATCTGATTATCAAATTAGGAGACTTTGAGACAAATCCTCTTAGATCTGATACTGTTGACTGGAGAGGGAAAATGGATCTCCACACCCGTCACGTAGGTAACGATGCTGTCCTGAAAGGGAGTTTTAAACCGTATTTGACAACAAATGCAGCTGCCCCGCTATTTCAGAAGATATTAGAGGGAAAATGAATGCAAATCTGTGTGCAGGGGCCATCTGGACGTGGAGAGAGGGAGTCAGCTGCTGCGCACACTGAGGCGCGGAGCCTGAATCCGTCTCAGCTCATTCTGTGGGATCATCTGCGTGGTGGGCTTACACCGTGGAAAATGCGCTCTCCATCATTAGGTGAAATGTTAGCATCAAAATAAAAGGAAACGCTGATCCCCGTTGGTTTTAGTGGCCGCGTGCGTGGGGACTTCGCACACGCGCGGAATTAGAGGATCTCATAGTCACATTTTCTCATTTATCACTTTTTTTTCATGAAAATTGTGTTTCTCAGGAGGTAAGTGATGGATGACAGGCAGGGAAACAAGTGCAAACTGTTTTTGCCTGATCTGTGCGTCTTTACGCGCAGTGCGCACTGGGCTCAGTGCTCGTTTAAATGACCGGTTGATGACACAGGAGCCTGTTATCTCATGCCTCTATTCAGTGACCACAATGACTGAACCCCCAAAGATTTGGGCCTGTCCAGTGATATAAAAACCCAAACTCCTCGGGACGCGTGGCTCCCAATAAAAATGTAGTACACGGTGACTTAAAGACCTCCCGTCTCGACGGAACGAGCCTCCTCCGTATTGAGGGTGACGTCTTCTTTTTTGTGTGAATTTACGGGGCGAGGCCCTCATGATCTCCTTAAATTTGCATGTAAATGGCGACATCAGCCTACACGCGTGCCAGGGGCCAGCGGGCCTCCCAGATGTCAAGGCAAAGTCAATCAGCCGGCCGCTGCCCAGCTGTCCATCGATGCACTTTGCTGGGACAAACACTTTCATTATATGCTCACCTGCATTGTTTCCTAATGGATTGATTGGCAAAAAAGAAAAGAATAAAGAAAAAGGAGCAGAAACCTTATTAGCAGCCACCAAGTTATTCGCTCACGGCTTTATCACAGAGGCTTGTTTTAAAGTGATCTTTTTTCGATGAAATATTAATCAAATACGCCTACAGTTACGCATCATTTCAAATTCCATATGGAACAAATAGGCAGACAGCCCACTTATTGTTTACTGCAACTCACGCAACGTTGTAAATTCTATTGTTTGTGCCTTTAAAACTTAGGAGAAGGTGGCTGAACTTCAAATTTTATTTATTCATGTATGTATTTTGTTTATGTGACATGTGCAATAACGCTCCAGAAAAATATGATGTGAGAGAAAAAGCCATTGTTTTTAAATTCCTGTCACTTGTGGCTGCATTTTATAAGAAATCATAGTTGTGTTTTAATATTTTCTATGGTTTTTCTTATAAGTTGGGCAAAATTGAAAATATTTAAATTTTTATTAGATTTTCTGAAATTAAATTAGTGTGGAAATTGCCTTTCCTTTACAATAAATGCCCACCTAACAAACTTTTCTTTCCACGCGCTGCTTTATACATTATTGGGCCTAATAAATGCACGTCCGGAATTCGATATGACACATTCAAACATCACATTAAAACACACTTAACACTTCATTTTTATAATTATAGGAGTAAAACACAAACGGCCACGAGTGATGAGATCAATCATGTGGGCTGCTCGTGTCAGCTCCTGGTTGTGGAGCTGATAGACGGACAGCGCCCCTCGTTGGTTACACTTGAGATCATTGTGGCGATGTGAGGCAGCTGTGGCTAAACATGGCTAAATCACAGCATAGGGTTTGTCCAACACCCCCTGAAAACTCCCTTTGCCCCATGAAGCCCCACCGAAAAGGAATATTTTTTATTTCTTTTATATATGTAGAATTAATTCCCTGAAATAATTAAAATACATTTTTGCAAGGGGTGTTTAGAAAATTAAATTAGATATAATAAAAATACATATTTATAGAGATTAAATATTAACTGAAGGAGAGCACATTGTGGTTTTACATTCATATGCACAAGATAAATAAATTGTAATATTATTATAATAATATTGTTATTATTACTATTATTTTTATTATTATTATTATTTGGAGTCCAGTTTTTTTGGAGCGTTTATTGTGGACTGCATGATAAATACAATAAAATCAGCCCAGCCATAATATATGACACGCAGCTGCTGTGACCTCACATTTCGTCACTAACTTCTGAGTGCTCATGTTAATTGTGTGCAGTGGTGAGTTCTGTCAAGGGCATTGCCCGTGCGCACAATTTGCATTTCCATTCTGCTGTGGAAATGATGAGAGAGTTTCTGCGCCGGTTTAGAGCCTCGCGGCGCAGTCTGTGGGCGAATTACATTTAAAGAAGGCGAGAGAAATTAAATAAGAAACCGAGACCACTTCAGGGCTATTAACATCTAAAATATCCCCTGGAAATTTAGACCAAAATACACATGACCAAATACCCAGGGTACCTTTCGCTCCCATGCAGCAGCAGCCCCCCGTCTCGATTGTGTCCATCACTGTTTTGTGGGCCCATCAGAAATTCTGTATTTAAGAGAAAGTTATCGCGCCGCCTGCACATTTCTCAGTGGCGCTGATGGAAGCGAGGTGAATTTGATTATTCAGCCCTGAATCGCAGCATATTAACTTATAATGTGGACGCCCAGACTCCAAAGAGAAGGAAAGAAAATATCTGACTGTGAGAGGTCATTTACACATCTCATCAGTGGGCATGATGCGGGCACATGTTGCATGGCCTCCAAAAAAAAAAAAACCCGGAGTCATCAGCTTTAACCTTGGGTCTGGCGGAGCGCGTGCGTGTGCGTGTGCACGAGGGCTGCAGCCTTTTTGCCTCAGCACTCAGGAGAACTTCAATTTGCCCGTTGACCCCAGTGATGCCAGCTCAACCCGCAGCCACACTGCCCCACCTGCAGGAAAACTCTCAAGTCACATTAAAATGTACATTTTCAACATGTTGCATCAGTGCCTCTAATTTCCTTCCACAGGGATTATACCATCGTCAAGGAGATGCAGATTTCCTGGCAAGGTGTCTCGTGCTGTATGTGAGCAGTGCAAGAACAATCCAGTTCCAACTCTGAATTTTGATTTTAGCCAGAGATCCTTATTAATGTTGAACTGTGCTACTATTAACAGAAATGTTAATTATGATGTCAAGATGGAGAGAGTCAAGGTGAAAGCTGCACAGCAATCGCTAAAAATAATCCACGCCAGCTCCAGTACAGTGTGATCCTGCAGAGGAGTGTTACTGGCAGGGGACCTTTTTGCTGCAACAAAGAGGTGGAAAAGAGGAAGTAAATGAATTAGAGTACAAGCCAGATTTTGTCTTTGTTTCATCCACGCTTGTCCTGTCCCTATTTTCTCCAACCTCTCCCTCT